TACAATAACTTTCTAAAAATTGTGTCTACACTTAAAAAAAAAACCGAACAGTAAAGATGGCTAGGAGTGAAAGGGTTAAAATGCACGCTAAGTGCTGTATTGATCGCTATTCATAGGTGTTCAGCGGCACAAACGATGGGCCTCGGTACGTCGCCAGCTCTGAGCTAATTGCTTGGCCCGCTCGATTTGCCCTGATTTTATTTGTTGGCTTGGCTGGTGGAATCACCCGTGTTAAAACACAGTTAAGATGTGGTCGGTGAGGGTCCGGCCCTGCATTCCTGAATGTAGAAGGGTCGGTTTGTCCCACTAACCTTTGCATCTGAAAGGTGTTGGTATGCTCGGTAAAAACTCTTGCCAGTTATCGGAGGGAGCAGCTGAGGACCTGATGCCGCCCGGATGGCTCTGGGTTTCCTCTGTCCTTTTCAGTCACTTCTGGACTGAAGCGCATGATTCTCCATCCTTACTCGTTTCTGTTCGGTTCACTCATCGGTAACTCCGGAGCTGTCCCTAAGCTAAGTGTGTGTGTATACAAAATCCCATTTAGTATTTGAAAGCCTTCAAATGGTCTTTGCTTTTTGGAGGCGATGCACTTTGCAGCCAGAGAGACCCACCGCAGTATGCCGCAATACGCCGGAGTCTTGTTACAATTTCCTAATTCTGGAGCGTCTTTGGTGGCTCAAAGACCAGTCCAAACCATGCGTTCACACCATGCCATCCGAGGGCCCCTAGTCTGGCTCAGGCAAAACGCTTTGACTTCAGCAGGGGCTGCAGAAGGGACCCTTTCTTACAGAATGAAATGGAGACCTGGTAATGTTAGTTGGGGGGGGGGGGGGACAATTCTCAGAGAGGGGGTTGGTGGGGACATGATTGTCCATATATGTCAGATAAAGCGTTTTGAAAGCCCAGATGGTGAACTCCAGATGTGTATTGGCGTGCGGGGAGGGAGAAGGTATAAAATATACAGGTAATTGAGGACACTGTTGTGTGTGTGGTCTGTGTATATCTCGTGTGGGGGTGGGGTGTGTGTAATCAGAGTACAACTGCGCCCACACACGTAAATATCATGTACTTTAAAAGTTGGCCGCCGTCTCTGCAGAGAAGCTGTGGAAATATATAAGATCAGAGGGTAAAACAGGAAAGAATGGGACATTTTTAAAAGGGTGATTCTGAAAATGGTTCCAAAAGCGAAGTGTGATGCTCCGTTTGCCGTCTAAACATGGCTGGGGTGGTGTCCCTCTGGTAGGAATTCTCTTTCTAATTCCATTGCAGCAGCCGGTGATTCGTTCTTGGCCACCACGGGCCAGCTTGACCTCTTTGGGTGACTCTCTACTGTACAGCTCGCAGAAGGGAGACTTTGCCTTGCCTGGCAGCAGATCGGGGGGTGTATCCTGCGGGGTTTAGCGCCTTTATTTGAACCGCTGGGCGTGTGCATAGGCCAGGACAGCCACCATCCAGCTGCGTTTCCTCGCTGAAGGCAAGGTCAATTGGCTTCCTAGATCCTTCCCGGCGTTGTTCAAGGGGCTGGGGGGGGGGGGGGGGGGCAGTGACTCCTGCCTTTGCCCGCCCTGCGCTTGCACGGCGGGGACTCCCAGGTGGCCAGGAGAGGGGATGAATATTGAGAACGGCGCCGCGCAGGGATTGCGCGCTCCTTTCATGGTCAGCTGCCCCCCACCCCTCCGCACACACACACCCCGCATGGCCGGTGGGGTGGGCGAGGGGTGACGCCGGGGCAGCAGCGCCGGAAACAAGCCCACTAGGGAGCGCATGGGAAGAGGGGAGTTGGGGCCGGACTCCCACTTTCATACATAACCCCAACAACCCCAAACCAGGCGTGCGGGGCAGGGCTTTGGGCTTAACCCGAGCGGGGTGGGAGGCCGGGAGGCAAAGTCTGCGCAGCGGGAGGAAGCGGTTTCTTTTGCACATCTGGCCGGCCTCAGCACGTGTTGGGTGGGGGGGGGGGCGAGAGGGACTGTTGGTAGCTTGGGTCTTTGCAATTGTGATGAAAAGCTCCGGGATCCAGCTCTCTTTCCCCACGACACCTCTGTGTGTAATTTGACAGGGAGCAAGAACAGGCTCCCAGTGAAGCAAAATCGCCCCTGACTTCAATGGGGAGGGGGGGGAGGCCATAACTCTTTCCAAACGCCCATCGGTAACACAATCAAAGTTTCTGCAGTCCCCCCCATACAACCCCACCCCCGCCATCCGCCCCTCCTGCGGGCTTCGGGGTGCTAGGGCGCAATCTCACCGCTTGGGGCGGCCTTTCGGCGCAGGTTGGGGGTACGGGGCGCCGCTGTCCGGTGGGGTGCCCGCCCAGCCTAGTACCACGCCGCACTGAGGGGTTCCTTGTCAGGGAACCCAAAACTTTGGGGAAGTGGGTCAGAAAGAGCAACGCTGCGTTTGGGTGAGCTCCCAGCGGTTTTAGTTCCCAGCCCAGACGGGGATGCTCCTGGGTCTTCTCAGAAGGACACATGCAAGCAGGCGACAGCGATGAGTAAATAAGACGGACTTTTCTAAATACCTATCTCCCCACGTAGCCTTGGAAACTGACAATACTCCGCAGTTGGGGGGGGGGGGGGGAGTCGGGGAGAGGCTTATCGTCTTTTGTTTCAAATAAAAACAAACGATATTAAGAAACTGGAGGGGGGCACAGACTGGAGAAGGGGGGGGGGCGAGGACTAATGCAGAGGGGTCGTGAAGCAGACCCCGGGAAGTGCCCCGAGAAAAGCCCTGGGAGTGCAGCTGCTCGTGGAGTTTGCGGCTCTGGCTGGAAAAAATCACCCTGCAGAATCGGGGAAGGAACGGCGGAGCCATTGGGGTGAAATGCAGGAGGTCGATTTTTTAAAAAAAGATCTGTCCTCTCGGGTTTTGTTTAAAATTTTCCCTTCCAGATCACAGCGCTTGAGTGAGGGTTCTAACTTACGTTTCCTTTTAGAAAAACACCCGCCTTGAAACTTGAACCTAAAAACCTCACCGTTTGGCTTACAGGTCACATAGATTCGGGTCCCCTGCCTCTTTCCCCGCTAAATCGAATGATTTTGTTCCGAATTGCCTTTCCAGAATGAAGACTATGAGAAACTAATCGAACCGGAATGTCGATCGGCAAAAGCAGTTAAAAATGTGTCTTGAATGTTTGCTTTCTTTCTTTTTCCCTCCGCCCCTCGATTTTGCAGTTTGCCAAAGACTTTTCACCTAAATCTGCTTTAGAACAGAATAAATAAATATACGGATTTGTTTACACTGATAGCTATCCCTAAGCAAAATTAAAATCCTGAAATTATTTAGCTTTTCTGATTAAGAAAAACGTGAACTAAGTTATTACACTTCCCTACAAAGAAAATCATTTTCAGCTAATATTTCCCTTAAATCCGTTTTTGCCATTGCTGATTTAAACCAGATCAATGGAAAGAAACTTTATGCAGTCACCTTGGTAGTCAGGAAGAACATTTCTACAACCATTTCTACATTTTCCTACAGGGGAAATGAACTTATTTATTGATTGTCTTTGAAGTGTTCTGCTCTTTATACACTGGTTAGAAAAGACCTATAAGGATTATTAAGCACTAGTTCTCCTTGAACTTCATTTCAGTTGAAAACCATTAATTCTTTCTCTGTGCATTTCAAAATAGAAAAATAGCAACAAACAGCGTTAAAACTTCCATTCATTTGAGAGCTGACTGATTTGCTGAAGATTTGCTTGTTTATTTTTAAAGGCTAATCTTGCCTTCCAATTCTAGGGCACACGAAAACAGAAATAAATACATTAATCTGAAGTGAGTCATTTTACATGCATAAAATCTGTATAATTTATACCATCAAGTTAGACTTGGGGAAGGCTGATGAAATGGAAGAGATTAGGTGACGCAACAAGATAATATATGGAGAATTTCCAAAGAAAACTCTCTTTTCTTTACTATCATAAACTAGAATCAAGTGCAAATATCACCAGGTCCTGTAAATCTGTCGTTCAAGAGACTTCAGAGGGATTGCCTTCAACAGATTTAAAAAAAAAAAAAAAAAAAAAGCCCCCAAACTGTTTTATCAGAAGTACTTGAGCCCAGGCCCCACATCCATCAGGGAAAATGACATACCAGGCCAAGGTTTAAAGTAGATGCATAATAAATAGCCGAGACTGGCTTGGCTTCCATTTGTTGACCCGTGGCTACCGAACAGAATCTCATTTTAAATCCGGCTAGCGCTGGGCCCATTGCACCATTTGCCCCTCTGCGTGTGTGATGAGAGGAAGACAAGCAGGTACCTTTTTCTCTTTTTTTAAAGGGACCAATTTCCCCCAGCGGTTTCAAGAAAGAAGCAAAGCTGACCAGGGCTCTTTGTACTCGGCTTTCGAAATTATAGCTTTAAAACTTTTCCCGAACGCCTTTGTTCAGCGATCACGTCTGCCTCAATTGCTCTCAGATTCTGATCGCTTCCCCTCCCCTGTTTACCCCAGAAAGTTTATAGTCGCAGGAGAAACAGCCCTTTAGCCAAGCTTTCTCGCGCCCTCTCTGCATTCCGCCCCCCCAGGCATATGGGCACCGACTACAAAGCCCCTTGCCACTCTCTGAAAATAGTCGATGATTATTTTCATGTTAGCCGAGCCAATCTTGACGTGGCCCATTGACCATTTTTAACACAATATCAGCCCTTGTATTTTCTACCTGTACCAAAGGAAAAACGTCAGCCGGTGGGAAACGTAAACGCAGAGAGATTTTCCACTCCGTGCATCTGATGAAGTGGGTTCTAGCCCAGGAAAGCTTAGGCCCAAATAAATGTGTTAGTCTCTAAGGTGCCACAAGGACTGGTTGGTTTTGCTGGTCCAGACTATCACGGCTGCCCCTCTGAAACCAGAGAAAAGAGGCTCTCTCAGCTCTGTATAGCAAAGTAATATTTGCATTTCCCTTGTAACCCCCAGCCCCTTTGTTTTGTATGTCCTTTGAAGTATGCTGTCTTGAGGTACTTTCCCTGACTCACCCTGTACAATTAAAATGGAAGACAACCATAAATTGTGCTAGAACCATTTTAATATAATTATACATATCTGCCAAATCCAGGGAAAAAAAGGTTTATGCATATATATCTTTTTTCTCAATTAACATCTGCAAGCATAAACGACAACGAATGTCTCCGTGTAAATTCATCAAGGTCAGAGCAATTGACCAATGTCCTGTTTTGTTTCTACTGCCGGCTTGGCCAGCAGTAAGTTACTACGGATGAGTTTAGTGTCCTTGTGTGGTTTTCTTCTTTCTCTTTCATTCAGAGACAGTTTGTTGGAAAAAGTTTCAGTACAGTTCACCTGTGGTGAAAGGCGATTTTTTTAAAAGATGATACTAGGTAACTCAGTTGCTCTGAATTTCACTTATAATTATAACCTATTTAAATCACAGCAGAACCCCTGCTGGGGAGGAGTTCACAGTTGCATACAATACAGGAGATCACAGTTTTGAAGTCTAGCACAGATTAAAAACCACAGATGTACCATTTATATAAGACACACACTGATTGTCTCTTAAAAACTACATATTGACTCCTTATGAACATTTCTTCTTCTTCTTTTTTTTAAATAAAGTAGTGCAGCTAGGACAATCAGTCACACAACCCACACAACCCTGACCCAAGGTCTGTCAGTGCCAACTAGCAAGTTGGGCATGAAACAGTTGAATGAACTTGAGCGAGAGAAAGAGAAAGAGAGAGAGAGAGATGCTGTCCATTCCAAAGATTTTTAACCAAGGGTTGGCTAGCACGCTGGAAACCTCTGGGTGAAGGATCTTTCCATACACACACAAAAGAAAGGAGAAAAAAAAAAAAACCACACCCAAACCTAGACTTTCTTTTTAAAACTGGCCCATAAGTGGAATGATCTGCCATTCCTTTCAAACAAAGAAACCCAACAATTGGCTAAAACTATAAAGAACACAGGTTGGTCTGTCTGCTTCTGCTCAGTAGATGATCTGTCCTTTTAAGGCCTTCTTCCTTCATTTCTTCTTTATTCCTTTCCAGAGCTTTTGGGCAGGAGGTGAATCTAGGTATGATCACACCAACTGTCTCTTTCTTCTTTTCTTTTTTTTTCTTTTTTTTTCCTCTTTAATTTAACCAAGACCTGACTAAAACTGGAATGTTCAGCCCAGCGTGTTTATTATTATTTATTATTATTAATATTTATTCTTATAACAAAGGGGTCCTACAGGCCTTCACAAAACCTGGAACTTCCATGAAGATGTCTGGTCTTTATAATCCAAGCAGTCAGCATTGAAGTTTAGCTTCCAGGAGGCGGTTTGGTCCTTATAATCCAAGCAATCGGTGGTTGAGTTAAAGCCCAAGCTTGATGCTCCATAGCCCTGGGTGGAGAGGGAAGCTGGGGACTGGTTGAGGTGGCTGGTGACTGCATTGGTGCCCATAGGACTGAGTGTGGCCCCTGGTCCCGGAAGCTGGTGGTGCATCGGGGTCAAATAAGATCCACAGTCCATCCCCCCGAAGTAGGAGGTTGAGCCCGCGTATCCTTGGCTGTAGCCTGAAGCCTGGGTGTAGGTCATGGGGTAGGACCGCTGCATGCAAGAAGAGGATGTGGACAGTGGGTCTGAGAGTGGGGAGATGGAAGCCGGGCTCCAGATGGACACGGGAGCGCTGCTGCTGGAAATGGCCGGGACGGAGGTGCTGGAGGGGGGAGTGAACTGCCCACTGGCCCCGCTCTCCGAACTTACTTCCCGGGCCGGGGAGCTCTTCTTCTTGGCCGGCCGCACTTTGTTCTGGCCCCCATTCTGCTGCTGCTGCTGCTGCTGGCGGCACTTGGCCCGCCGGTTCTTGAACCACACCTGGGAGAGAAGGCGAGAGAGAAGCCGGCGGTTAGCGCGGCTCCGGACCCTGAGCGGGGGCGAGGTGGAGTCAGGGGCACCAGGGGCTCGTTCCAGCTGCGGCTGGTTTCAAAGGGGGGGGGGTCCCCACGCTCTGGGATGGGGAGGAAGAAAAAGTAGAAATGAGCAAATCAAAATGTTTAATAGGGGCATGGCGGGGGGGGGGGGGAATAACCCTCTCAATCTGCGCTGCCTGCCAGCCTAGCGCCCCCCCCCCCCCCCCCACCAGGGCCTCCAGGTAATCGGAAACAATAGACCCTTACCCCGGGAGGAAACCGGGAGACAAAGGGGAAAGTGCGTCTGCAGAGGCGATGCTGGTCCCTGGGGCAGGCGGCGGATTCCCCGCTCCCGGGATTCCGCTCACGGCCCAGCTGCCCGGCTCCCCGGTGGGGCGCCAGCGACGTGCAGAGCAGGTATTTGATCTGGGGATTATTAGCGCCGCCGGGAACCCAGGCACCTGGGGCTGCTGCCCACTGATACCAACAAGCCACTGCCACCCGTGCCCCCTCGCCTCTGCCCTTCACTCCAGTCCCTAAGGCACTGCTCGCTGCCAGTTAGCCAGCTTGGGTCGAGAGAAAGTCCAGGGGCCGGTTGTGTGGACAGTTCACTAGGCGAGGGGAGGAGGAGGAGGAGAGATAATGGGGCCTTTAACATGATAGCACTGCTGATTTTTGCAGAGGGCACCTTCGCTGTAGCTAGTTGCTTGTGTTGCCCCATAGACTTTATTGCACCAGGCATTGCAGATTCCCAAGATCAGCTGTTGACTACTTAAAGATTTGTTGCCCTTTACTGCAGTTGGCCTTTTGGCCCTATCGGTGCCCTGGGACCAGGGACAAAGGTCCCGATCCTGCAGAGGATCTATCCATTCCTAGGCCCGGTGGCAAAACAGGACCTGTGGGAGTGGGACCCTGGTAAGTTTCCAACAACTGGCTCTGCGAGGCTCTCAGATAAAAACCCTACAACCAAGGTGGGTAGCAGGAGGGAGACTAGCGCCCCCAAACACGAGAAGAGTGAGGTAATAAAACACTCTGAAAGTTATTTGCACCAAAAAACGTTGGGAGCTCAGTTCTTACTCGGGACAAAGGGACTACCCTGGGATTTTTGGCCTGAGTAAGGAAGGCAGGACTAGATCCCCCCTCCCCCATTCTCTTCCCTATCCATCACTCCAGTCCCTCAGTGAGTGTGAGACCCAGCTTTCTGCTGCTCCTTGGCTCAGTTGGAAACACTGCTAAGGGTCCCCCCTCCCCCGTGCCGTAGCCTTCATCCACTGACGTCAAAACACCCCTGGCTTTGACTGGGTGCAGGAGGGGTCCCTTGTCTGGAGTGGAATGGCCTCCCAGACACTTGCTTTCCAATTAGCTGGCTGGGCAGGCGGGGGTAAGACTTTGCAGCTGTCCCCGTTGCCTATGAAGTCTCTGTAGCCTCCGCCAGTGGCTCTGGGAGCTGTTTCCAAGCTGCAAAGAGGCCCCCTGGGCTGGCGGGCCCAGCCGTGGCTGCGGGAGCAGAAACTGGGCCCTGGGTTGGAGTCTATTTGTGACACAGCTCAGGCAGGGAGAAAGCGGGGAATCAGACTCCCCGGTAAAGCTTTTTGCAGGAGTGCAGCGCCAGAGAGGTTTCCTCCCTGAGCTTCCAATGCACTTTCCCTGGACCCGTTGCAATTCAGCGGGAGCAAGGATCGGGTCCCTTCAGCAGCTTCCAGGACAGCAAGGGTTGGCTGGGCCTGGGGCTTTTGTCCCTAAGCTGTCCCAGCTCTCCAGACACCGGCAAAGGAACTGAACTCTCCTGGCCCAGCGGCGGATCCTGGCCAGAAAACCCGCCTCTGGCAATTGTGATCCAGGGGGAGGGCTGCTGGGGAGAGGTGGTCTTTGGCTTCCAGGGAATAAAGGCTGGGGCTCCAGGCGGCGAGGGGCAGAGGGCTGGGGCTAGGTCAGGGTGGGCGGCCAGGTGAGCGCTTGGGGAAGGAAAGGGGCTGGTGATGGAGGGTGTCTTAAGGCGCCAGGCCCGGGAAGCTCCTAGCGCTGCGGGTGCCTGGCCCGGGTGAACGGGAGCAGGTCCCTACCTGCACCCTGGACTCGGGCAGGTTGATTTTCAGAGCTACTTCCTCGCGCATGAAGATGTCCGGGTAGCGGGTCTTGGCGAACAGCGCCTCCAGCACGTCCAGCTGCGCCCGGGTGAAGGTGGTGCGCTCCCGCCGCTGCTTCCGAGGGGTCGCTGCGAAGAGCAGCCGGAGGCCCTTAGTGGCATTGAGCCGCAGCCCCTCAGCCCAGCCGGGCAACCGGGGCAGGCACAGTGCAGACCCCCTCCCCGCGCCCTCTGAGCAGCGCCCGCCGGGGGCAGCCCCCCCCCCCCAGCCAGGGCAGCAGCATCGCCCCGAGCCCCTCCTGGCGGGACCCCCGCCCAGACCCGCTCCCCCAGCCCCAAGCACCAGCGGGGAAAGTTAACGCAGCGGGGGAAGGCGCAGGGGCGCGTTTCCCAGGGACAGGGAGCCAGATCGCCCTGCTCAGCCAGGTCCCGCTGCGCCCCAGCCCCAAGCTACCCACCTCCCCCTTCCCGGCCCAGGCCGGCTGCGCCTCTCCGGGCAGGAGGCAGGGAGTTCTGGGCAGCCCTGCCCCGGCTTCGGAGTGTACCCCACGGCCCGGAGCCGGGGCGAGCCCTGCTCCCTGGGGGGGCTGAGCCCGTCCCCAGCGGAGCCCTTTACTCCCTCGGCCGCAGAGGCCGGGTCACGCCGCTTACCCGGGTATCCCACCGAAGGATGAAGCAAGTCCATGCCCGAGGTTGTCAGACTCAGCCCGTTGACTGCGTAAGGTGGTTGCTTGAGATAAGACATCATGCTAAAGTTGTGGTTGGAGGAGAGTCGGCCAAAAATCCGGGGAAGGGGGAAAGGCCCGGAAGGTCTCGATTCCCTCGGGAGCGGAGAGTCGGGGTCCCGGCGGGCTGGCTGAAATCAGGGGTCTACAAAGTGAAAGGCGGGGGGAAAAAGGGGGGTGATTTACCGAGCTGCCTGGAGTCGATCTTTTATCTCCGCTGTCTTGTTTGAGCGTGGCTCTTAGCAGGCAATCCCTCTGCTCTTAGACACCGAGACCCCCAGCTACATTTCGGACCGGAGGATACTGACTCGATAAACGCATTTAAAAAAAAAAATAAATTACACCCCATACAGTAATTGCAACCCGCCCCGCAGGAGCACAATCCCCCCATGCCTTCAAATGCACACATTGTGTTGCTTCCCTGGACATTTGCATGGGATTCGTTGGCTGGCACTAGCTAATTGTCTCAAACAAAACTTGATTGGGGCCATTTGCAGACACAAAGACCTCCTTGGCTAAATAAATAATGCTGATAACAAAGCCCATTGGTGAGAAACAAAGAAACAATTCAAGAAACCGATCTCTCCCTCAGTCTGTGGCAGGGCTTTTTAATTACCCCAGCTTTTGCCGCATTCAACTGCTACGAACCCCAAAATGCGGAGCTGAAATGCCATCTTGGAAAGAGGCAAACTTTTCTGTCCCACCAGGATCATTCCACGTTTGCAGTGATTTCCATCAGCCATTTTTCACCTAATTAGTACTTTGGGTAATTAGATTTAGAGGTAAGTAAGAGATTTATTAGGCTTTCAGAAACTCCTGATTATGGAGCTAACGCTAAACAAACAAGCATTTAACTTCCAAACAGAAATCACCACATGGCTAAACTTGCTTCCAAATTTCCCCTGTTAGTACAAGAGGAACATTAAAGATCAGTAGCATGTTCCTTCCATTGCAAGACTGTGTTTACAGGGAGATGCACATCACCATGCATTCCACTCTTGCATTTGGTGATGGTGGAAGCAGAATTTTCCAGCCACAGATTGCCTTTGGTTGTTGTATCCTAGCCCTTCTGACACCTACTTGGAATGCAGTCGCCTTCCCACCTCCCAAAAAAACAAAAACAAAAACAAAAAACGATTTACTTTTGTACCCCGCTTCGGGATTCCAAAGTGTGACATTAACACATCCTGACAGATTAAACCATTAGCATTTCTTTCATAAAATGTTGTCCTTCTCTTGGAAAGAGCCAAGGACTTTGCAACTCTGAGAAAGCTAATTTTTTTTCCAAAATGGCGGACAAAGGGGAAGGAATTTCCAAGTGTACTAGTCTCTAGAAGATTTGGACAGTGATATTTAGACTGGCTGGCTTCCTGCACAGACAGCTATTTTTAATGAACTCCTTAACAGGGAAGTTAATTTATTTTTCGTGCAACAAAAAACCCATCTCCTTTAATTCCAAGTTCATGCACCGAAAAAGTGAATGTCTGAGGCACTTCAGGGTTTCCTTTCCCCCATATTCAAAGGTGGATATTTCATTAAATAAATACATCTCTGCCAAGTTATAAACAAAGCCACCTTCCTCTATTTCAGTTCCTATGTTACTGCAAACCCCAATCCACGTCTAAGGAAGGTTTTTAATTAGTATATTACTTGGGGGTGGTTGGGTTTTTTTTTTTTTAACTTTCCTGAACTGCATGAATTAATTCATAAATTCACATACTTATTATTGTATTTCCTCTTGAACCTAATTGTAAATAATTTGCAAATCTTTCTTCTATTAGTGAGAAAAACAAGATATTGGTTTCGTAAATAATATTACGTGTGCATATTTGTGTGTGAGTATAACACACACATTGTTCATTCGCAGATCTGTTTCACTAAAATCCTTATAGAAGAATTTAAATTACATTTTTTAAATTCTCAGAACCAAAACAAAAAACAAAAAACCACTCTTATTTGTATTGTTTTGATGTTTGACCACCTCCAACTTTTAGAGGGGCATTCCCAGGCCCGGTTTTCTTCTGAAATAGGATTAAAAGCTTCCATCGTTGGTGTCAAACTTTTTTCAAGTGAATTCGCTTTAGGCTTTGTGGGAGAGGTTTTCTCTCCCTCTCTCTTTTTTAAAAGTGCCGAAAACCGGCGTCACTTTGAAAGTGGAGGGAGACGATCTAAATCCGAGGCGTTTAGAAAACACACAACTTGCCTGCAAAGCGTTAAATACAGTGAAAAGTTTGGGTCCCGTCCTACCTGGTCAGGAGCGAAGCCCGTTGTATGCGGGTTGACGGATCTGAGCGGCTTCATAGCAGGCTCGCTGTTTTATATCTAACGGCTTTTCTGCGCAATCTGTCTGTCACCTTTTCCCTCTCTCCCAAAGACCCAGTCTACCAGTTGCGCTGCCCTCGCTCAATAATAATTACCCCGTCCAAGAATTAATTATAATAAATGTTTTCTTGATAAACTAACGAGATAATCCGAGTGGCACACGGTCCCTAATTACGGGCCGCCAGACCCAGCTCTGCAGATCATGTGCACTGATTAATTTTCTGCCTGATGGCAATGAAACAAAACGTATATAGACTGGCACCCTGTTTCTCAAAACAAGAAGCCCGGTGTTTGGCCTTTTAAGAACTGCAGGGAAAGTTTTAGGCCTTGGGGAATCGAATCATTTCAAGGATGGACACTGAGAGAACCCCCTTTTTTGGGCGTAGTCACTTTCTGGTTTTTAATATTTTTTGTGACACACTCTCTCTCTCTCTTTGTAACAGGAAGGGGAACTTTTTGTATTCCAGAGTTGGCAGTGGTTTAAGAGGTCTGATCAAATGTTGCTCTTCATTCGACCCCACCAGTGTAGCTAAAATCAGCCAAAAAACCCTCAAAGTTCTCCTTCCCAAAAAAAAAAGAGAAAAAAAAAAGTTTTAAACACCCAGCCCTTCATTGCTATACAATAAAACCACAGGCAGGGGCAAAACCAGAACTCAACCTTGAACGGACTAACCAACGGTATTCTATGAAAAAACCCCAAATCCTGCCAGGCTCACGCTTTTAAAAAACATTTGATTCGATTTGCACCTTAAACCCGCTTGAGTCTCCATGAATGTAAACAGATATAGAAGCAACTGACCGAATTATTCTGCATAAAGAAGACTTTACCACCGGGGAGAAACTTGCACTGGGTGGGTTTACCTTCCTTCTACTAAAGGGGAACACGGTCCAAGAGAGGTGTCCACGTATGAGCTCCAATTTAGTTAATAAAGGTGCTTGCAAAGAAGGAAAGTGTCGGTCACCTAAATAAGCCAGAGTCGCCTAGGTAAAGCAAATGGCTCCTTTTTGAAAGCACCTTTCCAATGCCAGACCCCTTTTAGAAATCGATCCAATTCCTGTCATTCATTTAAACAGCAGATAGAAAAGCAACTTCCCATTTATTTATTTATGTTTCTCTCCACCCCAAGATGCTTTAAAAAGCCCCCCCCCACACACACACACATACTCTTTTTTTTTTTTTAATCTGACCCTTTCCTTGTTGCCTCGAGTCCTTTCTGGTCAAAGCCATGTTTGCAAAATGACTTTCCCCTTTGCTTAAGCTATCGATCGGGAGTCTTAGGCAGAAATCTGTTTATCAATAACCGCTGAGGCCAGGGATTTAATTCCAATTATTTTTTTATTTAAAAAGTACATGTACAGCCAGAGAGCGGCTCGAGCCAAGAGGATCAGGCCAATAACCACAACAATAAGGTCCCCCCCCCCCAGCCCAGCTCCAAGGAAAAGCTCGATCTTGTGGAGGAGAGTCCCGCAGACGACAACATAAAGGAAGGGAAGGGGGGAAATTCGAGGGGCTGTATCTACCCGCCTCCTCAATTAGCTGATCTGGTCCCTGCTTTTTCATTCAGGGGAAAGACTCTAGGTTTCGGGGAAATGAAAATGAATTAAAGGGGGGGGGCACACGCGAGCCAGTTTCTAAACACGCCCCCCCCCCTTCTTCCCCATCCGGGGTGAGAAAATCAAAATAACGATGGGAAACGTTTCCTTCCAAAAATGATATCTAGAGAGAATCCTGACGCTGCCCGGTGCAAAGAGAAATCCGCCCTCACCCCTTCCCCCAAAAGCAAGCAGGCTGTTATTGCAGCCGGCTGCAAACTCTCCCGAGACAAAAAGAAGAGGAGCTCAGTTTTACAGGCGAGAGTCAGGGGGTAGAGGAGAGTCCCATCCACATGCTCCGAAAAAAAAAAAACCCCAAACAATTCTTTGAAAAAAGCAAACCCTTCTCACTTACCTTGAAGCGTCGAGGGAGGCGTGTGCCTGGGGAGGGGGGGAGGGAGGGCAAAAAAAAAAAACCGGACCAAATGCTCCTGGCCAAATTCAAAATAAAGAGTTCTCCTACAAAAGAAACCACAAAGCAGTAGGTTAGAAATCTCGCTTTCTGCCTCCACCTGGCCCAAGAAGTCAACGGGAAAGGGGCGAGCGAGGCTACACGCGTCTAAAGGCGATCAATGAGCCCGGGTGTGGACTCGGTACGTACAGCGTCGGCCGTTGCAGGATCTGGCCAAGTGATTTGCTTTTTAATAACAGTGGAGAGTGAGTTGGAGCTGAGGTCTCTACCTCTCTCAGGGAGATTTGCTGAGAAAGAGCCGCTCTGGCAACTTTTTGACGCAAACTCTCCAACCAATGGCAGGCGGAGAATGATTGACACATCTAAGCCAGGGGGGGAAATAATAAAAACACACAACAGGGGGAGGAAAACAGGCCACTGCTGCACCAGGGAGACAATCAGGCAACAAATAACAGCGACCAAAATGACACAAGAATATCCATAAAAGAAACGATGCTCCCTTTAATAATACACATTCTGGGCTGGGGCGTATGAACTAATTGTACAATTAACGTGACGGACAGCAAGGATCACGTTACCCTATTGCTGGGGAGAGGAGGAAGTGGGGGGCGGGGAGGAAGGATACACACACACCCACACCCCCCCCCCCACACGAGGATATTAAAATATAAGAGTAAACATGATGGGAAGGGGGGGGGGAAGTGGGTAAATACAGGGGAATACAAAGCAAAAGCTGCCAAGAAGCTCTTGGATTAAAAGCAAAACGCCTGTCAAAGACGAAGCATCTGAGGTACCAAAGAAAGTGAAACTAAGGCAGAGAAAGAGAGAAAGAAAACGCCAGCGCAAACTATGTCAGGGGGCTAGCCCCGCACCTGCCATACCAGACACACGAAGGTGGATCAGATACGAGCTAGGACAAGGGCAGACAGAAAAAGGGCTAGATTTCCAGGTTAGGATCCAATGGGTTGCTGCAAGAATAAGGAATTCAGAGGGCAAGGAATAGCCAGCGCAAATGAGCCATCAGCCATCCCGGGGTGTGTGTGTGTGTGTGTGTGTATTATATATGTGTGTGTGTATATATATAATCTATGCAGTCAAAATGGGGGATTGGGGAGTGGTGGATTGAATTTACAGTCCCTATAGGACATGCAAATATTTTAATACAAATAAAGGGTATGCAGCAGGGGAGAGGGATATTGTGTGGTTCCTAGCGACAAGCAAAATCCTGAGCGATCCCGAAATGCCAGCTGTCTACCGGCAGCACCAGGGAGCTGTAGGTGCCCGTTGCAGTGACTTACTAGGACCCGTCCAATCGGACTGCGATCGCTGCCTAACCCCCCCCCCCGCCGCCCCCAGCGCGGAGAGCAGCCAAATGAACACATTTAAAATAGACTTAAAAGAAAAACACCCCCCCCCCCCAAACTCGCAGCGATCAGGAGACAGAAAGCCAGCGAGCGAGCGGCGCCCCTGCCTCTGCTGGCACCTGGGGGGGGGGGGAGACAGAAGAAAATCAGCTCGATCCTTTGAATGGGGGTGACCTGGGGTAATGAAGTTGGAGTAATTAACGCGTCTCTTTGCGGCGCTTTCAGAGGCGGTATGTGTGTAACCAAATGCGGTTGTCCTTGGGACCGGCGGCAAGCAACGAATTATTCCAGTGCCGCCGAGTTAGCGATTTGCAGCGCGGCTTCTGGAGCTTTATTGGGGGGGGGGGGGAATGAAAGCCAAACAAAAACCAAAGCAAAAGTAAATCAACAACAATCGCCCCCCCCCCTTCAGTCCCTGTCCCTTTGCTCTGCTCTGACTTTTCGGGATGTCCTGCTGGCTCAGAGGCGCCCCAGAGAACTGAGGTGGCCGCTCCTTGCCGGGGACAGAGCCGTGCCCAATTCCCGGCTTGCCCAGGAGAATTAGAGCAAAGCTTCTGCTCAAGTAAATTGGTTAGTCTCTAAGGTGCCACAAGTCCTCCTTTTCTTTTTGCGAATTCAGACTGACACGGCTGCTCCTCTGAAACCTAGCATAGATCCAGCCACCATCCTTCTTTTTTAGGAGCCCTGACACATTTAGTTTGAGGGGAGGGGGGGAGGAATGAGTCCTGGCTCTTTGTACCCCCCCCCTCCCCGATACAGATCTGTGCACACAATACTTAACTCCCAAATGGTGTAAATATCCCGCTGGCGGCATCGCCACCCCATCCCTCAGAATGCCATTCAACACAGGCAGTAACAATAAATATCCAAAATCAGCTCCCCCCGCCCCCATTCGTCCCCACACTATTTAGTAACCTTAATCCCACTTGGAAGAAATAGAAAGATAATTCTTCCCCGTGTATCCTGGGCCAGAAGGAATTTTTTTTTTCCTGAGTCGAAATCATTTTGTTTTTAAAGGGGGGGGGCAGTAAACGGGGACGGGAGAGGGGGATGGAGTGGGGAGGCCTTGGAGATGCAGTTAAATAAAATACAGCGCCCGAGAAACTAGTGAAAAGCGGGGCTAGATCTGGAACGATATTCCAAGCCCCAGGGCTTGCCGTGAAGATCCAGTTCTCGCCGCAGAGCCTGAAACTGACCGTGCTTAGATCTTGTGGGGCAGTGTGAATAAGGGAGCTCCCTTCCCCGTAGATAGGGGACCGCATGAGGCGAGCTCTCCGCTCGAGTCTAATAACTTTGGAATAATCGCACGGCCAATAAAAGAAGTGGCAGAAATGGACGGTGTTACTTAAATAAACAAGGGTCTCTTTAAAATTCTCATCCACTTCAGATGTCTAAAGTAAGATTGTGATGATTTTGTCACGGTTTGGTAAATTTACCCCTTTAAGAGGCTTTCATAAATCCCAGAACACACCTTCAGCCAGATTTGAATATAGATTTAGGTTTTAAAACCCAGAAGCTGGGAACACCGCTTTATCAAAGAGAATTTCCCTTTAGCTTAGCAATGTGCTGGAATGGCTCTTGCAAAGATTGGATCTGAAAGGGGGGAAAAAAAGGGGGGAACCTTCTTTCTGGAGGAATTCTGCACAGACTTTGCAGCAGCTTCTGGCTTCAGTTTTCCTGCAGCTAATGGGAAAGTTGCAAAAACTGGTTCTCCAGCTGTAAGAACTTGCGTTTTCTTTCTTTCTTTTTTTTTTTTAAACTTTCCAATCTCTTCTTTTCCATTTGGAAACCATTTCAGACCAGGTGCAGCCCCAGAAACCCAGTCTAGCTCGGGATAAAGTGATAGTGAGTGGACCCTGCGTCTTGATCTATAAGAACTTGTGTCCTCTGAGAACCAAAACTCTACTTCTGGGATGAAAAACGCTCTCACTTCTGATTTGAAGTAAGTTCTTCAACTTCCACTACCAACTGTGTTAAATAGCCATTCATTTCCCCTCTCTCTGCATATATGTATGATCCATTCTCTCTCTTTCACTCTCTATTTATTTGTGATTCCTTTGGTATTATTTCCCACTCTCAGTTGACTGTTTTGCAAGCGTTTATTGCGGTTTGTATTTATTACCCCGCTGGCTAATAGTTCTGAACAGCTCGGTTTAGTATCTGGTGACAAAAAGAAAGAGTTTATTATCGGAGACTTAAGCAAGCTCCCTTAAAACGAACCGATTTATGATTTGCCACCCTCCGTCCCTGGTCGGATCCGGAGAGCAATGCATGGCACTCACTTAGCTTTTCCCTCAGCGGATTTGTGTCTAGTCAAAATATTCCACACTTCCCTTACAGTTTATCTGCAATCCAGCTGCGGTTTCCAATGCTTCTCCTGACCCCCTAAAAAACTTATTTGGGGGGAAAGGGGGTAGTGCGATTTAAACAGCCATTCACAAATACCACGAGCCACTTTTCAGAAATGTTACCAGTCCTTGCAATGTTAAAAAGAGCTCCCTTTTCATTTTGTCTCAGAGCTGCCTACGCTACTTTGGGGGTTTTGATTAGTCGCCATCCCAACCTCGATTAAACCAACTTTCATAATTTGTATGGGTGGGGGAGGAAATGGGGGGAGAAATCTGGCAATCTGGAAGCCGCCCGTTTTACAGCCCTCTATTTCCTACAAATGATACAACGAGCGAGAGGGAACTACGCCCGAGGAAGGGCTGAACACGAACTAGGGTCCAAACCAGAAAAGTCTCCCTGAAATCAAGAAATAAATTCGCAGTGCGAATGTGAACATAACCAGAGACGATCTTGTGTGTTTCCGGAGAGAGCTGGATGGGGGTTGTGCCAGACGAGTGTGCTGGGTGTGGGTCGGGTGCGAACGAGTGTGGAAATGTTCTGTGCATCCCCCGGGGAAGTGTGGGAGCCGGTGGGTCAGGTGTGTGCGTGTGTGTTTGTTCATGAAAGGCGTTAACTATCCGCTTCCGTAATTTTCCTCTCTTGCCCTGAGTTGCCTGGATGAGCAGCTCTGTGTAGCAAGCAGGTTATAGATGGCAGTCCTGATATTAAAATAACGATTACACTCTAGTATCTAGCATGCTGGCAAACTTCATAGCCGGCTTGTGGGGGAGAAACAAACAAAAAAAAAAAGGGGGTGGGGGGAGGTTTGTAAGAAAGAAGAAAATAAATCCCCAGCGAAGCTTGAAACGAGTCTTTCCTTTCTAACCTTTTATAGCCTTTATTTCCCGCATATGGGGGGGAAAAAAACTTTTTTTAGTGAGACCCGCAAAGAACTTTTCCTTTCCTTTGGACTTTTGATTAGAACCCATCAGTTGCAGCCACATATATAAGAATCGATATAAAGTAATCCGTGGAGCTGGGATAAGGTTTTAATCGAAAATCTTCCTTACTATTCTTTGCAGATCTTCTTTAGCCGCTGGCTGGTGGAGAAACAAATACTCATTTAGCCCCCCCCCCACCCCCAGCCTCACCCCCACACAATGCAGAAAACTTGCAAAAGATCAGAAACCAACTGTTGTTACCCTGTGACTAAGAAATGAACCCTCGTATTATCTTCTTTCTTTCCCTGACTTACATCTATTGCTGGATGGTTTTTATCCACCCATCGCTAAACATACCCTTGAAAACTATATCCATAGTTTCGTCTTTTAAATGGCACGTTGGAAATATTATTTTACCTGCAAAAGAAAGGGGCGGATTTGTGTGTATGTGTGGGGGGGGGGAGGGGGGGTTTACCAAAGATCAAACAAGTAGAACCCGGTCAGGAAACCGTCTAGTAAACGAAATCCTTTAATTTGCCAACGATTAAGGAAGGAATCTCACACTTTTTAAACCCGTTTTTGTTTGTTTTTGTTAAATGATGTCCAACTTCACTGGCTTCTTTCATTTCAGGAGATATTTGTTTTCGAATGGCAAAAAGCAGCCTTTCGTCCTCACAAACTCGCGCTCCGTGTTTTGCTCAGAGGGGATGGGGGGGAAAGGCAGCGTTTTAAACAATACAGCCGGCTCCAATTTGTTTTGCCATTTGAAATTCATTGTAAAGCCATTCCGGCTCCCCTGCGTTCCTGCCTGATTAAACGGTGTTGTTTGTCCCCCAAAGCTGCACATTATGGACGAGTGCAAGTCCATTTGAAAGCATCCGACTCGGGTTTAATGGAAGCGAACTGGACTGAGTAAAAAGTTTGCCCGCGTAATTGCAGCGGAGACTCGACAATACTTGGGTTAATCGGGATTTGCTGTCTGATGAGTGCGTTTTAAAGAATGGACTCGGGTGGGTTGGTTTTTTAATCTGAAGGAAGCGAGCCTGCCTGGCCATATTTGAAACCCAAGCTGGCGTCTTATCTGTATGAAATTTCAATTTATTTAAAAGCCTGGTATTTAATAAACGGCGTGGGCCACATTTAGTTTGGGCAGTCCGCCCCCCCCCCCCCATCCCCCGGTTGTACTTTCTCCGTAATCGTGTCTAATGAAAAAGTGGGATTTCCCCATTATTTTTTTTTTGGGGGGGGAGTGAAAATATATTGCATCTTCATTAGGCAAATTGACTGCTGTGCTCAAGACAGTTCTTAATTGAAAAGGCAACCTGGTTTAATGGTGTGGGTGAGGAGAAGATTACATACTTTATCCAAACACAAAGGCAATTCATAGCGAGGAGCAGCCTGCTGCCATGAACTCGAATGCAGTTGCATCCCTGTCAGGGTAACTGCCCATACCTGAGCCAGACAGTGAACCCCCCCCCCGGGTCCACTGGCCGGTCGCTAATTTCACCCCGGAACAGGAGTGAGGGCTGGCCACGTTGGTTCTGGTCCAGTGACAAACTGATCAAGAGCATAAGCGAGGCATGGATGGCCACCGATTTCTGGGTCGTTTTCACAATAGCAGCATCAAGCCGCAAGTTGGACAAATCCAGCTTGTCTCCTTGCGCATTTTAAAGGGACTTTAATTGGGGGGCCGGCCTCATTCCGGCCAGAGCAAGGCAGAAGTGGGGTTAGCATTTAATCGGCCGGCCGCCAACGAATGTGTGTCCCCCAAAGCCACAGACAAATTGTTTCTCTCATTCCCAGCCTTGCTAGAGATGATCCTTCATCTAAACCACGCCGGAGTTTAATGCATTTGTTTGGGGTTTTTATTATTAATTATTATATTATTATTATTATTATTTTGAAATAAGCTTTCATTCCATGGTTTTGCTGAAAGCTACATTTATGCAGATCTTGGGGTTTGTTGGTTTGTTTTTTCCAAACCAAGATTCTCTTTTCGGGTCAAAAGAGCCGTGACTCCAGTGTGAAATGTCTGACTAGAGAGAGAGAGATGGAAAGGTACATTTAGAGGAGGTGGCTTTCCCTAAATGAAACAAAGTCGAGATCGATACAGCTCCTTCGGCAGAGAAGTCGATTTATGAATTAAAAATAAAACACAAACAAGCAGGTGTCAGTTCCCCTGCCCCACAATAAATACCACAAACACACTTTTTATGGCTGACTGTCGAGCGTCTCTCCTGCATTTTCACAGGTTTCAGAGTAGCAGCCGTGTTAGTCTGTATGCGCAAAAAGAACAGGAGGACTTGTGGCACCTTAGAGACTAACCAATTTATTTGAGCATAAGCTTTCCTGAGCTACAGCTCACTTAACTGTTCCTTTCCCGACACGACCCAGCCTCACTGGAGACGATTTGCACAGAAGTTTTCTGTAGGTCTTTGTAACATTCAAGACAAAAGCTGGGGGGGGGCGGGGGGAGAGACACATCCTATCTCGGTCTATGGAAACCGATTTCGTTTCACTGCTGCTCCCGAGTTTAGCTCATCATTTCTTTCTTCTTCTTTGCTAATGGCACCGGGCGGAGTTAGGTTTAATCACTGGATCTGGCCGATGGGCCCCTAACAAGGCACAGAACAGCCCCACGCCACACGTGCCCTGCCCAGGTGCTCATGGAAGACGCGTCGGGAGCTCACGGGCAGTGGGGGTGAGTGGTAGGAGAAGGGCAAAGCTTTGTCGGAGATTTTTGCAGCCCCCGATCCAGCCCCGTCTTCCCAATGGCCTTGGTCCCTCCCCACCTGCAAGTATTCTCGCCGGCGGATCCTGCAACCAGAAGGGTGGGGTCACCCCTGACCTTTCTCCTTCCCCCACCCCCACTCCAGGGGCTGCTGGCGGCGATCGCTGGCTGCAAACCTGGGGGAAGCAGGTTTCCAAGCGGGCCTATTGACGGATCCAGACGTCCCCGTCCCCCCCTTGCAGCAATCAATCGCTCGCCTTAATTTTCAGGGGGAGGGAGCGGGAAGGGGGAAGCTGCTCATGGCAATTCCCAAGGGGGTGGGGGGTGGCCCAGGATTGCAGCTCCCCAAATAGGATCCCCCCCCCAATAACCCCGGGAGCTTTAGCCCACGCGCCCAGCTGGCTGGGGTGGGGGGGCCTCCCCCTGCCGGGGCTGGTTTCAGGCTGGGCCCCCGCTCTGCCAGCCCCTCGGCGCAGGGCTCTGGGCCCGGTCGGACCCGGCCACCGAGCCCCGGCCCACGCTGCTGGCAGCTCCCGGCCCTTCCCCGGCTTCAGTCCGGCGAGTCGGGTTCCCCGGAGCTGTTCTCCCCGCGCCGCGGCTCCCCCGGGCCTGAGCCCAGCCTGCGGGCCGCCAGCTGCGGGCTCAGCCCGCCTAGCCAACCCCCGCCAGGGCCCGCTGGCTGCTCGGCCCCGGAGGAGAGAGGGGAAGGGACCGGCCAGCGCCTGGACAGCTCCCGCCCTCAGACAGACAGAGCCCAGCCAGCTCCTGTCCTCAGACCGACAGACAGACAGACACAGCGTGCCCAGCCAGCTCCTGTCCTCAGACCGACAGACAGACAGACACAGCGTGCCCCGCCAGCTCCTGTCCTCAGACCGACAGACAGACAGACACAGCGTGCCCCTCCAGGTCCTGTCTTCAGACAGACAGACACAGCGTGCCCCT